TTAAGGTGGCTCGTACCAGTTTCCTCGCGCGGGGAACAGGTCACTCTTGCGTGACGCGCGCGAGAGAAACGTGCGAAAGAAGCGCGAGATCAAAAGATGAAAATTCAAAACAAAGATGGCGGCGCGTGGAATTTTTTCTACTTTTGTGAGAAGTTTACCTAAGAGCTTGTATTTGATGTGTTGAGCGGCCACTGTGAATGCAGGAGATAGAAACTAAGATAACGAAGACGATTTTCGGAGAAGTAAAGGTTGCTTCACTTCACATTTAAAAGAAATATTCAACCGATATGAAATCTTGCGACGGCGAAAAAAGAAGAACTCAAGTGAAGGATAATCTACCTGAAGTGGAAGAAGACTTTGAAACTTCAAGGAAAATAATATGATATAGCCAGAAGTCATGTGTAGGATTTTTAAGATGAGCTCGGGAGGCTGTCTTTGACGGCTGTTTAATGATTTTCTTAGCAGTAAACGTCTGTAAACATCAGATCGTAGGTGCTCGCGCGAGCACACGCAATTGTCAGCGGTAGCTAAAACAGATCATGAGCAAATGTCGATCTTATAGAATCCAGATTTTTAAATGCGCGAGAACGCGCGTGGAAATTGCTAAACTCACGAAAGCTATTGCATGAAAACAAGTCCGGTGACCCCTTCTTTTTATTGTTCCAATATGATAATAACGTCGAAAGGAATCATCAGAAAAAAAATAGAAAATTCTACGGAAGGAAATTTGCGATGTGTGAAAATTGCCCTTTTTGTAGATTTTCTGAAATTCCGCTCCGTAGAATTTTTTAAAAATCTTTGTGCATTTTCCTTTTCAAGTGCCAAAAGCAATCACTGAGAAAAATTAGGGAGTCACCGGGTTAGTTTTCGAATTATTTAAGCCACAAGCTAAAAAATGCGTCTGAATAAGCCTATGAAAGCGTTGCCATGGAAACTGCTAGTGGCGAAATGACGCTTATTTTTGGATAACCAATGATTATGTAATTCAACCCCATAAAACTGTTCAACTGGCCTTGGTCAGTCTTTCTGTTGTATTCTTTCAAAGTTACAAACCATCAAAAAGATGAAAACCGGTACGAGCCACCTTGAGCGGGCGTCTGAGCCAGCGTTTCTTACCGCGGGTCTCTAGCGCAGGCGCAGACGTTTTTAATCCCTGTCACGTAAGCACGTAAGCACGTAAGCACGTAGCTTTGAGGAGGGTTTGTTTGCAGCCTCGACCTTCTCGAAATTAGTTGATTTTTGATCGCGAGAATATGGTCTTATCGTCCAAATGATATTGCTGGTGGTAAATGTTAAAGAAATGGAGAAGGCAGATGATGAATTGTTTAATCGTACGGAAAACAAAAGGTTAAACGGCGATGGAGAAACTCAATCTAAAGCGAGAGTTGGTCATCATGAACAAGATTTCATGGAAGAGGAATTTGACGGGGATTTCTGGATCAAGGTAATGAAAACAGCACTCTATACACTCTAACGAACAGTTTTATTGAAAAAGCTATATTGACTTGAAAATCCTCGATATCGATGTGCCGCGTCAGTCATCTTTGACTGAACGTGTTTTAGGCCGGCTACATGTGTAAATTTTGACTTGATACTCAGTATGAAAACTTTAACCTTCCCATTTACTAGGACGGTGGTGCAACCGGCATGTAAGTCTTAGTTGACGCTCTATCCATCAGTTAACAAAAAGATGGCATACATTGACTGAGATAAATCCGTTTATTTTTCTATTTACAAGAAACTGTAGAAAGGAAAACAAAACTGAACGAATTGATCGAGGTATTTTGCGCATGGGTTGTTAACCAAGCGTGAGGTCAAGATGGCTGGATACTGGCCGAGTTCTTCGAACGAGGCTAATATCTAGCCATCTTGACTGAACAAGCTTGGTTATCAATGGATTTATGATATTGCAGAAAGATTTCACGTTAATAAGAATCAAGAGTGACTTGTTAACTTCGAGAGCCTGGAAAGAAAGCCAACTGTGTTTTTAGCACAATAAGCTTGCAAGAGTTGTTTCTGTTTTTCTTTATTTTGACCATCCTCTGCTACTTTTTGTGTTTCCATCGCCGAAATTGTCCAAGAATTACAAAGGTAGCTCTAATTCAATTTTTTCATTCGTGGGATCAATGCAGGCAATCCTGAGTGGGCAAGATGGGCCTATCTTGCCCACTCAGGTAACCAATCAGAACACAGGATTCCCTTCATCTTGCCCACAGGCTCTGCGAGCGATGTACTAAAAACTCATATAATGTCACTCCCAACTCCCTCGGGAGATTTTGTTAGTCACATGACACCTTTAAGCTTGAATTGCCTTGTGCTCGGGTGAGCAAGTGTTTTCAGTTTTTATATAGGAGAGAGTTTGAGAGAAGTTATTGTGTCTTTCTTTGGCTAAAAGTGAATGGTTCAGGGAGTCGATATTTAGTTTTTGTTGGTCGGGGAGGTATTTGAAGCTTAATGCCTTCTTTTGTTTGTAATTTTCAGAAAACCTCTCTCTTATATTAATTGACTGAGACCGTGCGGCCAATGTACAAGTTTTCGACATTCGTTTAAATTTGTGAAGAAGCATAAGTACTACGGTACTAACATATAGTCAACAATCATTAACAGGTCAATAAAAAGCAGATTAAAGGAGTGTCATGGAACAGAGCAATGGATGAAGTTACTGTTGAAAAACTGATTCATACGTTCAAAGAGAATGGGGAATTGGACTCTGAAGATCCAGCACTCTTGATGTTAAAAAAATGGCCAGCATCTCAGCAATACCAAGAGAATCCTGACAAACTTCCAGGGCTTGAAAAGCTGGTTTGTAATTTAATTGTAAATCAACTGTCAGAGTTACAGTTGTCATATAATTGTTTTACAAAAAAATAAATGCAGTAATTAAGAAACAATGAGTGAAGTATAGCATTGAACAGCAGAGACTTACTAAGATTGGAGCAACAAGATTGATTCACAATACTAGAAACTGAAGATATTGTGAATGAAAAAATAAACATGTTACTGTGAGGATATTGCCTCAGAATGTGCTGTGTGCCTCCTTTTACTTTCCTGTGATACACTTTTCAGTTGGTATGTTCAATGATTATGTTATGTAGGAAGACCAAAAATTAGATATGTTGTGGGAAGTTGCTAATGTTTTAGCCGCAGGACCATGTATTTCTCTTTTATGAGGTTTTCAGTTATTTTTTACAAGAACTATGATTGAAAATTATTCCTTATTTGTAACTGTGAACTGAAGGTTTTCTTTTATTCTCTAGTACACTCATTACTCAGATTCCAGCTGGGGTGAAAAATAGACATCTTTGTTAAACTCTCTGACTGAGATACCAAAATAGGACTGAAGCATGAGATTAGCTTAAAGCAAACCTTCTCTCTCAGTTTTGTTCATTTGGCAATTAAAAAAAAACGGAAAGAAAGTAAGCAATGACAGTGCACGAACTATCTATTAAGCTGCAAAAGACTTACCTTTTGAACAAGCCTGCACTGGTCAAATAACTTTCAAGAGTATTTTATCCTTAGACATCAAATGATGTACAGATATATTGACATCAAGATCTTTGTACAGGTAAATCGATTGTTGGAAATTCTGTTGGAAAGTGCACTGAACTCAGATAACAGATATGAGATGTTCAGGGACAAGGATGATAAAGCAGGAAAGACATTGCTGCACTATGCTGCAGAACTTGGATTTTTGTGTGTTACTAGAACACTGGTCAATAAATTACCATGGCTTTTGACAGTGGAGACAAAAGCACCGAAGAAAAAGCGAGCGCTGTTACCAGTTGACATAGCATTAATAACAGAGAATGACGAAGTGGCAGCATATTTGATAAGAATGATGTGGCCTGACAGGTAGAGTGAGAAATAACTTACTCCTTAATTAAATAAAGGAAAATAATTGCTTTGAAATGCATGTTGTTAACTCCTTTCAGTTGTTATAATGACTTTTGTAGGTCACTTGCTGCTCTGCACATACTTCTCATCCACCTTTGTCCCAAATTTAACTACTGTAATTGCTGATTATAAGTACATATACCATGAAAGCAATTGTTCATGAACTCCCTAGTGGGTTTTTTATGGGCCACCCTCAAAATATCGAGAGCATCAGGTGGAAATTTATCGAAATGTATTGGTATAGGCCATTTTATACCCATAACATCCCAGTTTGTGTTGCATATAGATACTATAGCAGTAAAATTCCATTGCCAGGATGGGATAGCAGCCAATTGCAGGTTACCACCCCCAACAGTTGGTTATGTTTTCCTAATAGTTTTCTACTGCCATCTTATTCATAGACCTAAGAGGAGAGATTCACCCTGAGAGTAATGTGTGTTTTCAGGGGGTACAACAGAGTGATCTTGCTTTGGGTTCAAAACTGTGTTTTTTGATCCAGAATTTAGGATGTTAACCCAGAGGCTGCCAGATGTCTCACAATAAATATCTCTTTAAAAAACTGAAGGAAGGTGTTGTATATGACCTTTTCAAGTTTACTCACTTGTAACTCAGCTCTCAGTGTATACAGAGCTTAGATATGCAGCTTGCCATTGTTTTTGATTTCCAATCTTAATTTATTTAGAGCCCTGAGACTCTTTTCATGGAATCCAGGTAATAAGACAAACCCTCAGCCGTTCTTTGTCAGTCTCAAATCCATTATTGAGAATCCAAACATGAAGGTAAGAGATTTTTATGAGGGTTCATCTCCGCCAATATCCAATATTCTGTTTCAAATTCTGTTATGAAGAACCTGTATGCGGTTCTGACCTCGTGTACCGGTTCACAAGAGCCAAGACAAAAGACCAAACAATACACAATAGCTAACCGATGACTCCTAAACAAAGAAAGAACAATGGTAATTCCCTTGTGAACCGGTACACCAGGACAGAACCCTGTATGCTATTGCTTTTCATCAAATTCTTTTCTCATAAAAATACAACCGAAATTGGAGCAACAGAATAGAATTTAGGAAGTTAGAACAGAAATTGAGTGAACAAAACGGAACTTAGAACACCCCTACAAAGCGAAACAGAAATTGGCGAAACAGAATGGAATTTGACGATGCCTCAAAAGTTCTTTTTACAGTTGTGGGCTTGGTGGCCAAGCCTTTGAACAGGAGTTAGGCTAAGGGTGACCGTGTAGTAATAGAGACCTGTATCTAGTTAGCATGATGACAAAGAAATTTGCATTTGAAAAACAGCAACATCTCTGTCATAACAAGGTCACTCTTAGCCTCACTCCTGTTCAGAGGCTTGGCTACCAAGCCCACAACTGTAAAAAGGACTTTCTATTCTATTTTTCCGACGAACCGAGTGGAACCTGAGTAAGAGCCAGTTAAACATTACAATTTATTCTTCCGATTCCCGCTCAAAGAAGATTTATTCTTGCGTGGTGACCAGTCTGTTTATTGACCGTAAATTAAATATGTAAGGGGCCGACCATTTAACTCTTGAGGGGGAAGGGGGATGGGTGATTTTGAAAAAAATTTCCTGCAAGCGCTTGTTGGAATAAAAAAATTGCATGCAGCCCAAATGTAACAGAAAAAATGTACAAAAAAAACGCGGAAAAAAATATCCTGCCCAGCAGATTTCTAAAAAAACTTCTTGCTGACCAGAAATTACCCACCCCCCCCCCTCAAAAGTTAAATGGTCGGCTCCTAAATATCGAGAATCCACCGAAAGTTGCAAAATTTCGTAATTCGTTTTATTTTTTCTAATGGGCCCTTTCATTGCTTTACTAGGGGCTAGGACAACGGCCATTTAGGCGTATTTCGAACTTTTCGATTTTCGTTGTAGCGTACGAAGTTGCCAAAAGGCCACAATTCCATATAAGACACATGGGATTACTGTCTTAAGTAAACAGTTTCTAGAAAATTGATTTGGATAGAAAACTTATGCGTCTCAGTATTTTGACTTTCATTTGAAATGAAGAACGAGGTAATTTGACATGCTTAGACCAAGATAATTTGTCATCGATTGTACCTCCGAGGCACACAGAGGATGATACATACCGAATGATGTCCTCACTCACTTCAGAGGTTTCATAGGACATATTAAGGGCTTGGTGCTCAAAATCATCGCTTCGGATTTACTTTCGTGGACAACTAGCCTGTTCTTAAGACTCCAGGAATTAACCTGGTCTAAGACTTCTTGTAAAATTATTACAATATCGGCAACAGAATTCCCTATGACTTAAATTGTAGTATCGTCTCCATACATGTATAATTCCCCACTGGTCACGTGATCCGGTAGGTCATTAACATAAGTAGCAAACAGGCTAGGGCCTAGCAAAGATTCTTGAGGAGCTGCAACTCTAACAGGTTTTAGATCTGATCTAACATTATTAACTTGAGTCTTTTGCATACGGTTGGTGAGATAATCATTGATCCAGCTCCACATATCGCCCAACTTCACCGACTACTTTAAGTTGTTCTGCATGAATTATGTGGTCCACGTAATCAAAAGCTGTACGAAAATTAATGAATAAGACTTAAACCTTGTGACCTGTATCCAAAGCTCTCCTCCAGGACTTATTAAGATGGAGGAGAAGGCTTTTAGTAGAGTACCCTTTCCTAGAAGTGAAAAGGGAAAAACTTCTTATGTGTACGAAACCGGCACTATACTTATGTCGTTGTTTACCACGGGCGTCCCAAGCTCGCGTCTCGAGGAAAAGCTAAAGATTATGTTATGAACGCATCGCGCTCTGTGTGACGTGGGAATCATTGAGAATTTGAATTCGTCATAAGGATAGTATGATAACGAACTGTGGTCCATTCACAACACTAAATATTCCGAAATATGAACATTTTACACATAAGATTGATAAACCTTACTCACTCCTTGCATTTCCGTTTTTGTTTTGGCGATCTCTGCCGTTTTGGGCTTGCTTTGCCAGCACTGCTATTACTATTCATGCACAACTTGGTAGGGGAGGTAGGGGGAAACTCTCTCTTACACAGAACAATCACGCTGCACGGGTGCATTCATTCAGTGCAAAAACTGTTTTGCCAGCATTTTTGGCTGTGCAAGTCGGAGAGGGTTAATATGGCCTCATTGCAATCATTTGGTGATAAAAACTTGCATTACCTTGTTCTGAAGATCGCATTTGCTTGATATTTAAAAGATTTTTACATATACTATTGATTTTAATTTTAAAAAAATTCGAATTTAATGGAATTGATGTGGAAATTTAATTTTTCTATTTTTTTTTCACAAATGTAACATCAGAACTTCTTTTATATTTGAAACGTAATTATCTCAAAACATTGCGTGGCTATCCCCTTTTTTTTCGGATTTTGATAGCCCTTGATAAGATCTATTTTGCATGCTTAGTCATTAGATCCTCTATTGGCAGACACTCTACTAAAGGGTTATTATTTATGTTCAACTATCTGTGGTCCCTGCAAGTAATTATAAAGTTGTCAAGCTTGGAAATGTATCCTTCAAAGGACCATGTAATGATACAAAAATTTCCAACTGCATTAGGTAATCTTTATTAAGCAGACAAGCTGATAGTGCGAAATATAAATTGCTTAGGCCAAAAAAATATAGCATATCATAGATATGCATAGGAATATGACCTATGTTTACAAAGAATGCGAGAAACTTCAAGAGACAGCGCTTGGTAACATACATTTTTTACCTATTTATTTGTATGCGCATATTTATAATGTCTAAATTAATACATACCAATGATGTACTTTTTAATGGAATATATTTTAACAAATTTGTTTTCTCTTTAGAAAACAGTGGTGGCTGTGTTAGATCAGATGGTGATCCCGCACTGGCCGCATCTTCCAAAACGTAAAGAAAGGTATGAGAGTGAAGAAGAGAAAGAGGCAATTGAGGGGGCCTGGAGTACAATAACTGAAAATCCTTTGAATTATCAGTTTTGTTATCATGTACTGGATGCTGATGAGGGAGGACGACCTCCAAAGATCAATATGTCAGCAGGGGAACAACCAGCATATAATGAGTATTTTAACTGGAGAGACAAGTCTTGTTTACATGTGATTGCAAAAAGCTATAACATGGTAAGGTTTACTGAAGTAATAATGATAAAGAAATAAAAAGCAGGGTTTTATTTATCATCAGAGTTAGCTNACAGAAAACCTGCAGTAAAAAGAAATGAGAGCTTACTACAGGCAAAATAATGTCGACAAATTCAACCGGAGGTGCGATGTACACAAAAATATCTACAACTAATGTGTTTCTCCGTTTTTCGCAGGCGCAGTGCTAAAACACATATTATCTGGCAACAATTAACATAATGAATAAAAGGGGTAAGTTTCTAAAGAAACTGTGGGGGCAACAAGATAATTTGGTCATATCGTCTGAGTTGATAAATGTAAATTGGACACCGTAAAGAGTTAAAAGGCTGACGTTTCCAGCGTTAGCCTTTTGTCAGAGCGTCATTCGCATATATGCCATCGTGGCCACTTTTTGGATCACAACTTTGTGTCGCTGGTTTGTCTTTATAATTATACCACGCTTCCTACACAAAAGCCGAGCCAACCAAATACATTACACATCGCCCGATACAGAAAGGCAGTTTACAGTGCATAGTGGGTGTAGTTAGTATTTGTATTTTGTTATGTATCACATTGTGTCCTGCCATTTGTGATTTTTTTTAAAGAAACATTCATCACATCTACTCCTCAGTGGGAGAATAGCACTCTTTTAGTCTCTTTTAACTCATCTTTGAACCCGTTTCTTTACCGCTTGAAGGTCAGTGAAGTAAGACAAGCAGTACAGCAGACAATGAGACAAGCACTTTGCTGTCCGTGAAGTTACATCCACCTCGAGATTTACAAAAAAATGAAAACGTACACAGCTAACTGATATAACTAGTTGTAGTTTCGCTGCATTATCCTTCATCCTAGTTGCTCTAATAACCTTTTGGTGACGGCGTTGCATGTACATCATTCTACCTACAAATGCACTCCTGGTCTTCATCCCACTCAACTACAAGACCATGTTCAACAACAGCCGACCCAACCAAATGCACTGAATATGGCGCTATACAGAAAGGCGTTGTAAACTACACTGAGTTGTAGTTATCATTTAATCTTAATAAGGAAACGATCAAGAAGAAATCAAAACAGCGAGAATTGCTCTTTTGGAATGTAGAACGCATAGAGTTGTTTCGTTCAATTCAGCAAACACGCTTTAAGTACAAGAATTGCTTTATTAGTATTTTGCAACTACGTTTTCACGCCTGAACGTGTGTGGACAACTAGACAGTTAAGATAACACTTTTTCTTTTAACTGGATCGAAGTTTCTTCATAATCGTCTCGAGCAGAACGAACCTACTGAAAGTGAAAAAATTTCGCATGCTTAGCTTTATCCACTGCCGTATTTTCTTTTTTTTTTTTTTTCCAAAACCACTAGATATCATCATGTAACTCTTTGATTGGAAATGCTTCTGGTCACAAAAATGAAATTTCAACTTGTCTTCTTTACCAATTTCAACTATGCTCGTTAACCCGATGAGGATTGGAACAGCCACATAACCCAGGCGAATATATTAATTTGAAAAGCTGACATGTCTGTTTACGCGTCGAGAAATCCCGATTAGTTCTACTTTGCGTCACTCCACTGCTCAATGGTTGTTTGGTGCTTTTTCTGTTGTTTTTGTTACTTCTTTGTAATTGCTACTGGTCATGCACTATTTGTTTTCATTTCCAAGCTGTTGTGGAGGAAATTCTCCAGATTTTCGCATTCAAGGAGTAAGAAAAAAAGCTTCGAAGAATAACAATTTGATTTAAAACAGAGTCCCATTGCTACCATTTTAATCAGCAGCTGTTCATTCTCTCCCAGGCCTCATCTGTTTTACCATCGTTCTCATCGTATCACTACGGAGAGAAAATTATTGAGATATTTAACAGAAAGTTATAGGTGCCAAAATGGTCGACTGGCTGTACAGATACGTGAAAGGTAGCTGTGTGATACGAAATGAACGAATGATGCTCACCGTATTGCATTAAGCTTTTCTTCCACTGATTCCCAAGGATTGCGATCTTCACTAAATTCCAAAAGCTCTAGGGAAAATAGAAAAGGTAAGAGCACTTAGAATGCATCCATCAGAGAGGTATGAGATGCAACTGCATAAGATGAGTGGAAAAGACCAACCTCACTTTCCTTAGCTGGTATAACTAGTTACTTCATACTACCAGCTGGTTTTGTTTTTTCGACTTTTTTTTAAGGCTCCAGGTTAAGCAGGTTATCAAGAAGAATTGAAGACCTACAATATGTACTACGAAAGAGAATGAAGACAGTCTCAATGAACTACAAACCTTCCGCAAGTTTCTTTTCACTGATCCATTCTG